TGTGGCCAGGGAAAGCAGAAGAGAATAATGAAAGTACTTGGACCCTCTCATGGATGACTCAGATGAAGCCCCTGGTTCCGGGCTGTGACTGGGCTCAGCCCTGGCCTTTGTGGCCATCTAGGGAGTGAGCCAGCAGATAAAAGATATCTCACTCTCTGTCTCTTTAATTGTGCCTTTTAAATAAATAAACCTTAGGTTGGGTAGCTGGTCTTAGGGTGAGCTTCCTAGAGAAGCTGGCATTAGAGCAAGAGTTAGGAGTGCTAAACATGGAGCTATCCAGGGGTGTCAACTTCCAGGGCTGGAAACGCCACATGGGGCTGGTGTGGCATCTCAAAGAGGGAGCTTGTGGGAGGTCCACAGAGAGCAAAAGCAGATGCTGAGGTTGAAGGGCAGAGGGGTGGATCCTACGTAGTCTTGTGGGCTCTGGTGGAAATCTAGGATTCCCCGGGTGGAACAGAGGGCCCTCGAAGGCTCTGAACAGCAAGGTGAGGGTCATGCTTTGACTCACGGAAAACAGAAAGGGAAAGACATGAGAGAGGCTTTGTCTCAAGCAAACCTACGGAGTGACATACCAACTCAGTGTAAAGAATGTGAGGCCTGAGAAGTAGGTTACAGCTTGCTTCAGAGCAATACCGGGAACAAATTTCAGAGTCTGGGTGGCCATGCTCTTGTTTCAGTCATGCAGACACCGCGTTTATGCATCTTGCAAAATTACCACTTTTCCTGAGAAGTCCTTCTTGACTGCCTGTTCCAAAACCATCCTTCCCTTCATCCTCAGGTCTTAATTCCTCGATAATATGGAACAAAGATGATTTCCTATTTCCCTTAGTAGGTTAAACCCTGAGAAGGTAATATATGGCTCTCTGGTTATCTCCATAGCTCAACCCACAGACAAATGCCCAGAGTGGATACTGGGCACTCATTTGTTGAATGACTGACTGACTGAATGAATGGTCATGGAGTCCTGGAAAACTTTAATAAAAAAGAAAAAAAACAACCTTGTGTTAAGTCCTAATTTAATCAAATTAACCACATTAGAGAGATTAAAGATAAATAAGTCATTATAATATAGATTGTTTTCCATCATTAGTGGTTTTGACATTGTCACTAGACTACTGAAGGCCTATCTTCATGCTTATAGTGCATTTTCCATAAAACTATTAAAGCCATATTGTAGAAAATAGGAGAAAAGGCACGAACAGCTTTACGTCCCTTCTACTGCTGAGACTCATATAAACTTAAAACTTCCCTCTCACACAGTTTAAGCACATCCAGGGATCCAACCGATTTTCTCTGATCTTTACACTTTCACTTAAGCTTCTCTGTAGCCAACTATGGCGGTTCTCTATGGAAACGAAGTTTAAAGCTGCAAGCCACTGAACATCCATACTCCTTACTAACAAACCGTTACATGAGAGTCTCCTGTACTAGTCTGCAGACATTCGAGATTGCTTTTTCCTTCTAGGACCAAGCTCTCCTTTTGCCGGAGTGGAATTCATCGAGCAGCTTGGGAATTCTAACCCATTGAGAAAAGTAGAAATAATCTGAGGACAACTGGAAGAGCAACACAACTTCATTAATCCTGAGCCGACCCCCTCCCAAAGAGTTAGGAGTCTCAGCTCACCAAACGGAGTGCAGGGTGTTATCAAGCAAAACCAACCATGCAAAGCCAACAGGCGTGGAAGCACCCATCTACTCATCGGAGCAAGCTGTTCTGCGCTGCATCAGCAACAGCACACCTACACACACACACACCGACACACACTCTCTTTCTCTCTAACTGCGGTGAACACAGAGGCGGGACTTGGACGGTTGCACGCGGGAAGGGTTGACACAGTCATCATAACAGAATGCGGCAGCTGTCACGGACCATGCATCGCTGGTAGAGATGACTGCCCTGCCAGGTGACTGCCTAGCGTCCTGGGTGTAAACACCATCACGAGGAGGCATGAAATGGGCAATTAGCAGCTGGGCAGCATGAAACGATGGCCTCTCACCTATGACTTAGCAACTTGGAAAAACAACGAGAGACTCTGCTACATGCTGTGCACCCAGAAGCAGTAACAGAACTGTATTTGCTCTGCCCATTAGGCTCTGTGACAGCAAGGAGAATAATGCTATGGAAAGGAAAGAATGAATGATGGGAAAATGGCTCACTTAGTGGGTAAAGGCAGGCAAGGCACAGGAGCAGAGGGAGTCATTTGGGCTGTGGGAAGCTAACATGGATATCGCTGATCCCTTTGAGGGGGCTGCACCTTTTCAATTCACAGAAAGAGGAGACTTGGCTGTCCACCCTTCTGAAGCCTTGGGCCTGCTGACAGGGGTGGCCAGGGCCAGGCATACGAAGTGCATGCAAAAACAGAGCTGCTGCTATACTGAGACTACACTGGCAGGCTAACACTTGCCCAGGACTCACATTTGCTGGCTGCTGCTCCGATTCCTGCGGCCTACCTCATGCGATTTTCTGCACAGCACCACCCTGCCTTTCAGATGATGTGACAGAGCACAGAGAAGTGAAGCGACCTCACTAAAACTGCACAGCTAGTCAGTAAGACTGCCAGATTTGGGGCCAAGGATCTTAAGCTCAGGGCTCATGCTTCTAGCTGCTGAGAGCAGGAGCTGTGAAGTCAAGAGATGAATCTCCCAGTGATACGCAAAGGATGCTTTTATTCAGAAAATACCATGGCAACCACAAGCCTACATACCTGCTATGTGCAGTAGACTTTTTTAGAAAGAGTAATGTATTGCTGTTGGAAAGGCAGAGTTAGAGAGAGATCATCCATCTACTGGCTCACTCCCCAGATGGCTTTAACAGCAGGTATTTGGCCCATCCATAGTCAGCAGCCAGGAGTTTTGTTCCCCCAAGTCTCCTACGTGGGGGCAAGGGTCCAAGGACTTGGGTCATTCTGCAGTGGCATCGTAACTGTCATCCCTCTTCGCCTTTCCTCTTGCTCTCATGCAGGCAGCAAACAAGAGTCAAGTCTATATCAGACCTTGAGACTTGCAGGAATGAGCTGTAAGGTCTCCAGAGTGCTGCGCTGGTTCCGAAGGACCAGCTAGGGAGGTGTGTGCCCACGAAAGGGAGACAGGTGGAGTGGAGCTAATGATAGTGGGCTGACCTGGTCCCCTCCTTCACAACTGCCAGGCATGAGAGCCCTGTGCCAGCCCTGGACCATTCTCAACTGCTTTCCCAGGCCACAAGCAGGGAGCTGGATGGGAAATAGATCAGCTGGGACACGAACCGGTGCCTCATATGGGATCCCGGCACATGCAAAGTGAGGATTTAGCCAATAGGCCATTGCACCAGGCCCAGTTGTTCCACTTCTAAATTCAGCTACCTGCTACCAGGGAAAGCAGCAGAAGATGGCCAAAGTGCTAGGACCCCTGCATTTATATGGGAGACCTTGGAGAAGATTCTGGCTTCAGTATGGTGCAGCTCTGAATTTTACAGCCATTTGAGGGATGAATCAGCAGATGGAAAAGTTTCGTTTCTCTCTCTTGCTCTGTAGTTCAGGGTTTCAAGCAAACAAACAAACAAACCCTAAACAACAACAAAACACAACACCAACTATAAAAAAAGTGGAATCTAGAAATACACACTGTCTTCTATAGCAGGATCAAAATGGGGTGCAGCAGAGACCTACAGCGACACGGCAAACCAATTGTTTCACCATAATCACAACAGCTGAGTACAAGACTGGAAGCAACAATTAAACCTTTACAGAGGCCCCAGCATGGTAGCCTAGTGGCTAAAAGTCCTCACCTTGTATGCACCAGGATCCCATAGGAGTGCTGATTTGCACCTTGGTTGTTCCATTCCCCTTCTAGCTCCCTGCCTGTGGCCTGCAAAAGCAGTTGAGGATGGCCCAAAGCCTTGGGACTTCAAGGCTCCTGGCTTTGGATTAGCTCAGCTTTCGCCACTGCAGCCACTTGGGGAGTGAACAAGCAAATGGAAGATGTTTCTCTCTGTGCCTCCTTCTCTCTGTAAACCCGACTCTCCAATAAAAAATAAATCATAAAAAAAACCCCAAAACTTAATAGGGAACATGTGGGCCTCAGAATGGGTGGGAGAGAGGGGGCATGGGGAAGAGGAAAGAGTTGAGTGGATAGCATTACCATGGGGAAAGCTGTTGCCTGAGATGTTGGCATCCTATGTGAGTACTGGCTGAAGTCCCAGTCATTGTACCTCCCAATCCAACTTGTAGCAAATGGCTTGGGGAAAGCAGCAGATGACACTACAGGTGTTTGGCTATTGCCGCCCCAAAGGAAGCTCTGGACAAGGTGCCTGGTTCCTAGTTCCAGGCTTTTGCCTGACCTAACCTTGGTGGATGTGGCCATCTGAGGAGTGAACCAGCAGATGGAAGATCTCTCTATCCTCTATGGTTATTCCTCTTTCTGTAACTCTGACTTCCAAATAAAAGAATTTTTTTTCGAAGTCTTGAAAAAGTTCAAGGTGGAGCATCTGTCCTAGTGGTTGAAGGAGCTGTATTATTCCTGCCTCTGACTGCTGACCCCAGGTTCCTGCATGCGCAGATCCTGAGATATGGATGTGATGCTCCAGGGAGCTGGGTTCCTGCCATCCACAGGGGAATACTTTGCTTGAGTTATCATGTCTTGCTTTTTCTGGATTTGGCCCAGCCCTGGCATTTCCTGCCATTTGGGGAGTGAACCAGAGGATGGGAGCTCTCTCTGCCTCAAACAAATACATACTAACTACTACAAAACATGGCAACGCTCTTTAAAAAGAGCAATGAACACCTAATGCACTGGGCTGACCCCCTGGGAACATTCATATTTGAAGAGAATCGTTCTATAGGCAAGACATACCTAGAATTCCTTGGCAAACACTTGTGGTCACAGTGTACCCAAACTGGGTGTCTTCCTGTATATCCTTCCAGGAACCACCTCACAATTCTTAGTATCCTGGGGTTGGATGCCAACGCTGAGAATGGGCCCACTGAGGAGTGAACCAGTAGACGGAAGATCTACTGGGCTCTTACCTTTATCATAGATCTCCTTCAGGACTCCTCGCTTTATAAGTTCCTCTCTGCTTTGCCGCATCGATATCTTCCTTTCCAGGGCTGCAAGCAGAAGACAAACACAACGGGTGTGAACAGGCAAGAGGGCTGCTTTACAGACAATCCTGGGTTAACATGCATCACAGCATAATGTCCAGGAAACCTTCTGAAATTATGCTTAGCTAGTGGCAGCAAGCGATGCCTACAGGTTGATATTTTGTCTGATACTGTGAGAAGTCTTTCTGTGGGGTGACTCATGTAATCTTAAATATCTGAGTTGTCTATGAGGTAGACATTTTCATTTAGCCTTGATTTACGGTTGGGGGAAGCACAGTGTGAAATAACACTGCTACCACGTCTCTCTGATCTTGGCCTAACTTCCTCCTGGATCTGTGTTTTCCTTTGGGAGGCCTTGCAGGTGGGGACACCATATCAGTGAGCTAGTTCACAGAAATTAAATTTCGCTGAGAACTCTGCTGCTTCCCAACCACACACACACACACACACACAAAAAAAAAAGGGTATGGAGCCAGTGTTCTGGAAGTTAAATGAAGCTGGCATCCCTATGAATAGTGATTCAAGTCCCAACTGCTCCACTTCCAATTCAGCTCCCTGGTAATACACCTGGGAAGGAAGCAGAGCATGGTTCATTGTCTGAGCTCCTTCTCCCACATTACAGACCAGGACGGAGTTCTGGGTTCTTAGCCTCAGCTGGCCCAGAGGCATTTGGGAAATGAATCAGCAGATGGAAGATTCGCTCATGCTTGCTCAATGTCTCTCACTCTGCCTTTTAAATTATAAATAAATTTTCAAGAAAAAAGAAAATGGTATGAGATACAAGAGTGTTGCTAAAAGTTCATTTGAAATGGAACAAAAAGTAAGTTTATTCTGAGGCAAAAAAGTTTTTGGAATCTTATCTCAGGAAATTAATGGAAAAACCTTTTTGCGTAAAAGAGATGTTTCTTTCAATTCCATTTTCCATGAACTATTTGAGCCACCCTTGTATCTCCTGAGAAGAGCTCAGGATTGGCACCCCACGGTCCCCAGGGGCTGACTACAGAGGGGTCCAGGATGACATTCACTTAACAGCCTGCCGTGGGCTGCCTATCTCAGCTCTACAGCAGCCAGGTGAGGATGCAGGGCCAGGGGGAGCCTGAGAAATGGCAGTGGGGGCTTTCCTTTTGGGACAGTACACACAAGAAGAGCCACATCAAGCAGAATTCTGGGATGATGATGATGATTCTGTGGCTCAAAGACGGGCCATGGGATATCCAAGGAGGGGCAGCCAGCAGCCCAGTCTCTGCCCCACACTGTGTAGGGCAGCAGAGGTAATTTCGGTGGCTTTTGTTAGCTTCTCAGGGGGGAAAAAGGCAGTTATTAAACAAGGAAACCGCTTTAGGAATGTCAAGCAAGTTATATATATATCTCTCTCTCTGTGTCTCTCACACACACACACACACACACACACACACACACACACACACACACACACCCTGCCATAGAATTTAGGCCAAAGAATAAGAACTGAAAAGCAAGCCAGAAACCCAGGACTAGGATTCTGTCCCCATGAACCATGGGTCCTTAATGGAGACGCTGCCATCCTGGGACAGAGGCCTCAGCCTCCATGAAGATTGTAAGGCAACTCTCTGATGATGCTCAGACACAGCCAGGCTGACAATCACAGATTACACATAGCTGGCCTCCCAGTCTGGCCTTCCACATCTGTGGCTCCAATCAACTGTCTGCAGATCAAACATGTATTTTTTTTTTAAAGGACGAATTCATTTTTATTGGAAAGGTAGATTTACAGAGACAAGGAGAGACAGAAAGAAAGATCTTCTGCCCGCTGGTTTACTCCCCAAATGCTTGCAAAAAGCTGGAGCTGTGCCAACCTGCAGCCTAGAGCCATGAGGCTCTTCCGGGTCTCCCACACACAGGTGCAAGGTCCCAAGGCTTTGGGCCCTCCTCGACTGCTTTCCCAGGCCACAAGCAAGGAGCTGGATGGGAAGTGAGAACATGAACTGATGTCCATTTGGGATGCTGGTGCTTAAAGATGGAGATTAAAGAGTTGAGCGAAAGTGCTGGCCCCCAGATGAAACATATTTTTAAAACATCCGTACTAAAGATGCACAGACTTCTCTTCTTGTCATTATGCTCCAAACAACTGAGTCTGGAAGCACGACACTGCTTTATCTGAGTGACCAGAGCGTCCATGGCTTTGGACATCCCAGGAGTTCTAGCTTATCCATTCCTAATCTGGCTTCTTGTTAATGTAGCTGTGGAATCACTGGAAGATGTCCCAAGTGCCAGGCTCCTGCCACTCACGTGGGAGATCCAGGATCTAGGCTGCTGGCCCAGCCATGGCTGCTAGGGCATTTGGGGCAAGAACCAGCAGATGGAAGCTCTCTCTCCTTTGCGCTCTCTCTTGCACTCTGTTTTTGCCTGCCTATCTCCTCATAGCTCTACATTTCAAATAAATAAGTAAACCTTTTAAAGAGCATATTACAGCTTTATCTATTAAATGATATTGAAATATGCAGTATGAGAGAGAACAATAAATGTCAGGTTGGGCTGCATTCACAGAGCTTGCTAAGACAACATCAGTAATAGAGCAGAGAAGTAAAACTCTATTTCCATGGAAGCGAGGGTAAGAAGCTTACACAATGGACCGGTGTAAAGAAGCGCAGGAAACATAGAATTCGTGCTTGTTTTGGAGGTTCAGGGGCTTTAGGGCCACGTCAAGTGAACATGATGTGGCGATATGGTATGAGAAGGCAGAAGGGAGCCCTTGTTGAGAAGAGGCATTGGGGATGGCTGGAAAAGGCTGAGGATTGCAGGCAATTATTAGAAAGTTCAGTCTGATAAGAAAAGACCTATGGAGCTCCACAGTAGAGAAAACTAGGCAGGGCATTTGAAGCTGGGATTAGATGTCTAGATCTTGTGGGTAACACAAAGCCATCCTTGCTTTGCCACCCTCTACTTAATCAGATGCCCCTTCAGTTCTTCAGGGACTTCTCAAAACCACAGGCTAAAATGCAGGGGGCCTGGTCTCAGTGGTCCTGGATTTCCAAGCTCTGGGTAGACTTGTGGATGTTCCCAGGCCACCTCTTAGCCACCTGCATGCCAGCAGCTGGATCGCAGTGCTCATTCTGTAGCTATGGAGCCACTGTTGAAAGAAAAACACCTGCCGGCGGGTCTCAGGACGGGGCGTCTCATGCCTGGATCCCGGACGGCCGCCATGGGCACATGGTGAGCCGTCCTCCCCGGGCCTGCTGGGTTCCAGAGGCTGCTTCCTTTGGGGTGAGTAGACCGAGGGGGGAGGCCTCTGGGACCCGGCAGGTCCGGCACCCAGCCACCGCCCTCATTGGGCGGTGAAGGGGATTTGGGAGGGGCGCGACCTTGGGCCTGGGAATTTTAAACCTCCAGCAGCCTCCCGGCGGCTGGCGGGTCTCAGGACGGGGCGTCTCATGCCTGGATTCCGGACGGCTGCCATGGGCACATGGTGAGCCGTCCTCCCCGGGCGGCCAGTGCACCATTGGTGCCAGGCTCCGCCTGCTGGCCGCCCGGCTGGGGAGCTCTGGGGATTTGGTTCTTTGATTCGCTGCTTAATTAGCTCCAGGTTGAACCCATTGTGATTCTCGGACCTCAAACAGGCAGTAACTCTTTCCTTGTAAAAGTTGTAATCACTAATAATGCTGGGCACCAAATACCAGTCCATGCAGAAGCCTGGGCTTGGGGCTTGTCCTGCAAAAGTAGCTCCAACGGCTGGCTAATGTGTCAACTGGTAGGGAACAGAGTAGATCTGGTACGAATGAGCAAACCTTAGCCCACAAGTAAAACTAGAAACCAGGAGGGAGCAAAGGTCATGCCAGGCTAGGCTCTTGTACCTACTGGTCTGCAGGAGCCAGGGACACGAAGCCACAGTGTCTAAGGCAGAGGTCGGGACAGGTGAGGAGCTGTGCCAAGCTGAGTCAGAGCAACCACTGGCATGCGAGTGATCTATGGCTGGGAACAGACTCGGTTGGGGAGCAAAGGGGACAACCCTAGCTGGGCTGAGGTTCCCACAAAGAGGTGCATGGCCTGGAAGGGGGGCTGCGTTCTGATCTGGATACAGTTGTAGTCTCCCTTGGCACAAGTGTGGACTGGGATTGGATGCACCGAACCGGGCTGGACCCCGACTCCCCCTGGTGTTCTGGAGGACCAGGGCAGATGTGTGATAGACTAGGCAAGGTCTCAAACCCCTACTGAGCCATGTGTGAGCCATACGTAGGTATGGACAAACCATGGCTGGGCCGGAACATCCAACAGCAAGAACCAGATTGGGTGGAAGGCCAGTCAGGAAAAGCCACAGTTCCTGCTATGACAGGAGGTGGACTGAGTATGGTTGGCTCATGGACCCACTGGTAAGCGTGTAACCTGGCATTGGGAGAGGTTCTGATGGAGGAGCCTGGGCAACTCCTCTGGCAGGACACAGACCCGACAGGTCAGCGCAAGAAACATGATAGGAAACAGCCCAGAAAAGGCCATGGAAAGCTACCCACTGGCATACACTTGGCAGACGTGGGGGCAAGACCAGGCTGAATCTGTCCACGTCATCCACTGGCAAATCCAGGCACCAGTGTGGGTTGACCCAGGTTCGGTCGCAACAAAGACTAGTGCACAATATGGAATGCCGAGGTGAGGTTGCCTGTACCAGAGGGGACCGCAGCGTCCAACCAGCCTGAGAACAAGAAAGGAAGTAGGCAGAGCCAGCAGGGGAATAAGGGAGGGTTCCTTTGCAGGATAGCTACTTCCGCAGGAGAGCATGGGCTGGGATGGGGGCAGACCAGACTAGGCAGAGCTACCACACCTGCGTGCCTCATGTGGACTAGATCAGGGAAAAGCCAAGCTGGGCTGATTATTCCTACTGGTGCAAACAGAATTAAAGTGGGCGAGGTTTAGTTGGGCAGCAGTAACTGGAATCTGGGAGTGGGAGAGGCCTGGGAGGGTAATAGTGGGCTCATCCCTCTTGGGTTACCACTTCCACGGGAGGACATAAAACTAAACAGTGGCTGGGGTGGAAT